GTAAAACATTATAATCAAATGGGTAAGGGGCTGCTTTGTTGTGTTTAAAAGTGGCTCCATGGTGCTCTTGGCAACGGCCAGGGAAGTAATTGCATTAACTTGGCTGCTCACCCTGACATGTTCCTTTACCAGGAGCTTCATGTTGGGTCATTTATAGTCAAGATACAGCATTTATAAACAGCCAGTGAGTCGTGTTAGAGTAAACACTCATACTCTTGTTTTCTAAAAGTTATCCAAAAGTAATATTGCATTGTCCAATTAATACTTTTATATGCGTATACTTTTTTACCCTTATCCAACTGGCTGCCTAAACCATTTATAGTGAACTGCTTTGGACTTGTAATACCACTGCTTGTGTATACACAGTACATATGAATATGCACCATTTTTAGCTTTTCACAAAAAAATACTTTAGGTCTATTTAATGATGTTTTAATCCATAAAGCCAGTGGATAGGTGCACACTTGGCTTGCATGAATGTTATCAAGTGTTCTGCAAAAAAGGTTTTCCTAGAGGGTGTCCAGGCCTGGTGTCGTGCACCCAAAGGCGCACGACACCTGTCCCAGGCTACTCATGGCCGCCTCACTCTCCTGCTCTGCCCATCACCCACGGCAGGGGCGTCACGTTGTCGCCGCACATCTCGTGATAAACTGAAGCGCCGCATCACATTAGGGCAGATGGAGCGGCGGAGAGCGGCACGCACTGATGAATTGGTTGGGTCGTGCACGCGGTCGTGTCGCTGGGCACGGTGATAGTCGTGCTCTACCTGTAAAGCCATAGCCCTGTTCTCGCTGACCAAGCGGAGTTACAGACGCTTTCGTATGAAGAAAAGCGCTCCTTGTGGACCACCGGCGTGGCATCTAATTTATTAACGGGTCGCAGGATAACCCCCGTCCCCTCTCGTTGCCGATGAGTTTGTAATGCTTGTTTTCCCTTCCCCCGTTTTCATAAAAATCTATAGTGCCTTCTTTGTCTTTTATTGAAAAGGGAACAATTTATAATAAAAAGAGCTCAGCTACCTCTGTATTGCCATAACAGTGTATGCAGCATGGGAATACGGTGCATGCTTGAGGATCTGATGTGTTTTAAGTGTAAAAAAAATGAAAGCATGCTGTACATAAGCGAAGGGTCTTCCTGTATGGAATCATGCATATACAAGGTGTAATCAAAATGAGGTCGCGGTGGAAAATGGAATTGATATGTTAATGCATTCAGTGACGTCAGGCTGGCGAGTTATGGATGTAATGTGTTCTGTTGGCAGCTGTTGTGATGTAAACAAAGGTGTCAAGTTTAATTTGTTAGCAATTTTTTTCAGAAGTGTAATTGAATTGTATTCTTGGTCCATTATCCCATGATGTCTGTTACAATTTAACCAGAGCGCAGCAATAAATTCTGGTTCCCAAAAATACAAATACTTGTCATTGATGATTTTGTTCCAATTCTTGCATGTTTTTATTAAGCATAATCACTCGATGGCGTGGTTGGAATAGGCCCTGGCACAAGGAACGAAATGGGCTAGTATTCCCCATGTGGTACTCGGGTAATATTTATGGCCAATCGGGTCGGTTGCTGCAGTGCCCGCATGTAACCCACTTGCAGATGATGCTTGTGACTGAGTGCACCGGTTGTTTATTCCCCCAATCATTCTAATAAAAGCAATACTTGTGTAGTGTCGTAGGTCTCGTCTTCCTTCTGCTCGAGGCGCGTGGTGTGCGGGTGGCGTGCGTCGCACACTCAGTCGGAGACGAGGTAGTCGTAGGAAGCACCGTCCTCCCCGATTGTTGTCGAGTTCACGCCACCAACTTGGGCCCCCTCTCTTGTCACGACCACGCTGCCGTACGACCTGGCCCAGACACGACCCTGCCCGCGTTGCACCGACGGCGTCGACCGAGACGGCCAACTACTGTCCGACCACGCAATCATCGGGCGACGACGGCGACAGCGACGACGAGACGAGTCCACTCCCAGAACCGGCAGCCCGGAGCTCTCGCTCTCCGCTGCTTTAAGTTTGTTCGGCGCAGCCTGGCTCCCCACCAGAAGGTTCCAGAGGCCTCCCCACGAGGTCTACCATGACCGTTGCCCCAGTTCCTCCGCCCTGCCGGCACACACCGCGTATATACTCAACGGCGTGTGCGCTAAGTGTCCACCTGCAGTTGCAGCTGCTGTACAACAGCGCTGTCACTACACACGTGTAATAAGCCTTTAGAAAACCAGCTATTGTCCAAGTACAGTAAGGAGTGAAGAGTTTGATCACAGGAAAAAAGGCTGTTTTCAGTATTGTGTAATGAAAATGAACAGTTTTTGGGTGTAATCACTGCCTCCGGTTGACTACGTATGGTGGGAAAAAAGTTCAAGATATCGGCAGGTTATGGAATTCTCTTGATCACTACAACTTGACTGGTAGATTTGTATTTATTTTTTAAATCACAAGTTGCGGAGCCCAGCAACAAAGAGCACTATTGTAGAAATAATATTACGAGGTTATAGATTACGTTTTAATAGAACTTACAAATGTTAATACTTGGATTGAAACAATCGAATGGCAGAGTTTAATTTTTTCCCAGGCTTGAGCGATGCCGCCACCAGCCCCCAGGGGAGGGCGCTGTGAGCCACAGCTGCACTCATCGCGAGCCCTGACGAGGGGCGCAGGTGGGGGGGGGGGGGGGTGCATTGCAGACAATTATGAATAATTGATCATAAAATAGGAAATCATCAAAAGGCACAAGGCTGTTGTTGCTGGGTCAACACGCAACCAATGTTAAACTTGCGTCTACGTTTCACAAATCGAATTTCAACTATCTGCAGTATGTACTATATACACGCATTTATGTTGAACTTCTTTTGCACCATACGTGGCCACCGACGGTTGGAGAGGGCCCAGGTTTTTCTTCATCAAATAGCTTAAAACGAAACGTTTGACCTTCCTTTAATTGTGAAAACATCAAAAAGGAAAACATCGACGTAGTCATTGACCATAATAGAGAATTTTGGGTTAGATTGCCTAAATGTGTCGTTAAACCCGCCACCACCCGACAGCCAATTAGTAAGGTTTGTCACGTAAACAAAACATGTCTATTCGTGACTAGTGCAGCACACCGGTGTGCTGGAGAGGAAACCCACAACACATTTACAGTTCGAGTACGTTTGGCTAGTGTCGTAATTACGACCAGCATCATCAACCGACAACCAGATTAGTCATTTACCTCTGGCACGCTCTCTAATTAATCCACGTGTTTCCCCCTTTGTCTCATTGTAATTCCAAGCATGCATCTCTTTCACGCTTCTTTGCTCACTTTTCAGGTCATGTTCTATATATTTTTTTAAATCAATGACCACGGTGTTTCTGAACCAGCCTTGGCAGGTAGCAATACCCACCGACTTAACATTGTCTCCTTTGGGCACATTGATAGGGTCCTATTCATTTGAGTAATTAATATTGTATCGCTGCGGTCACAAACACTGCTATGGCTAAATCACTCGGCATGCGACTGTTTGGTGAGGTGAGCAGCGTTGAGACTGTGTCGTGCGAAATGGAGCGATTAAATCTGTTCAGCTGCTATGGGAGCATTTAGTAGATCGCAGACTCATGAGAGGTGGCGACTACTGGGGGATGCCTTCATCCAGCAGTGGATTGACGATGGCTAATCATGATTATCTCAATGAGACTGAGGTTTTCTTTTTCTTCTTAAATATCTTTACTTTTTTGTAATTAAAAATGTATTTAAATATTTCCACACAAACCCACCGTTACTGCTGAAAATACCGTACAGGAAAATCGCTAACGATACAGTACAATAATGATTTGACAATCGTATCGAAGGGCTCGTCCATCCCCTGCCCACGCCACAGATTTCCCTCGAGGGGGGAGGGGGGACAGGCGCGCGTCTCTGCGGGGGGGTTGTTCACATTTCGCCATGAAGTTCAGCGCCACCAAGGATCAACTCCCGGGTCTTGCCATGACCACATTCTTCTTCCCCGTCTCCACTGTAACGGCAGCTCAGGTTCAAAACCAGCATTATACATGCTAATTTTTGTATAGCTTTTTTGCAAATGAAAGAAATCATAAGTATTAAGAGGAAGGGGTCACGTTTTATGCCTCTTATTTTCTTCTTTAAATGATACATTTGTAACGGCAATATTAAGACAGAGCAAGTATTTAATAACCAGGACATCAAGGGCATTCACCACGGCTGTTTAGTGCAGTGGTCACGTTGGCTGTGTTTGTAGCAGGTACGCTGGGTTCAAATGCCACAAATAGATTTTTGCATATTCATGTTCAAACCAAATTGAACAGCCACGTGAGCGCAGTGCAGACTCTATACCACGCAGAGCCCCCCAAGTCTGTGTGGAGACACGGTGGCTCAGACGGTTGAGAGGTAACCCCCTAGAATCTAGACCTCGATCTGAGGCTGTGACAGTTCGAATCCTGGCAACAGCAAGTGAACGAATAAAAACTGGTGCTTTGACAAAAGGACCAGGTTGCCTGAGAAGTGTGGTTGCAAAGGTGGAGTACCGGGAGGGAACTTTTGTGGAGATACCTGAAAGCTAGAATGGGCACCTGTGAGCAACACTGAGGATGGAACTGTGGAGATGACTGAACAAGAAGGGAGGACCAAGCTGGTGAATGGAACGGACAAGGAAACATGAAAATGAGGGCAAGACATGTTTTGCATAAATTCCAAACCACGAGCGGGCGCACTCTCTCTGGAACCCACTATTAAAGCCTACTTTTCCTACCCATAAAACAGCCGTTTAACGCAAAAACACGGCAAAATCCAGCAATAAGCAAACAAAACGTGACCGTGAAAACAGCAAAAACAATAACATCCAGGCAGGGAGGGCAATTTATCTTTTGAAACATTTGGATTGAAGCCACACTTTTGGGTGAAAACCCTATTTTGGAGAAGAAAAAAACAAATTTAAGGCTAATAAAAACAACAGACTAAAATGGGACAGACTAATACAAATGTAGTGAGTTCAAATGAGTCGCAGACGTACTCTTTGGAGGCAACACATTTATTGATACCAATACAAAGGGGTAACTGCCCCTTTACCAGATAACACCCAATGTTGGTGGACTACCTGGCTAAGTACACTAATTACACCGTAACTAGCTGTGTAACCACCAGGCTAACTACACTAGTTACACAGGGTGCAGCTACAACGGACAGGACCCCAGCTTGGGTCCAGGTCCACGTGTTGGCGACTCTTCTCGGACATAGAACGTGGATCCTAAGGATAACACAGCAACGCTGAGCCCCGGTGTCTCTGGGGACCCGGTTTATATGCTCCCTGGCCGTGGCTGGCCCCTCCCTTGGCCACGACCACCTTCTCGAATCCACTCGCAGGATCTCGCCTCGACACGTGACTACCTCTAGCCCCCACTTGGGGCCCCTGTGTAGATCTTACCCGTCACGTGCCTTCTAGGGTCAACCAGAGTGCCATGGCCTTCATTAACCCCATTCATGGCCGGCACCCTCACACCCCCTCCTATAGGGGCCAGCACTGCACGCCGAGCGCGGTGCCACTCAGCGCTCTCTATCAGCGCTCACCGAGCCCCTCTAGGGCTGGTACTACACCCACATGTACGGGGTGTCCGCGATGTGAGTACATCGCACGCCGTGCCTCGCTAGAGCCGGCACCACACAGTGACATCCACAATGTCACTACATAAATGACAGAGAAACACATACGCTGTATGTATTCAACTTCATTTTGACCAAGGTTACCTAACTTGTGAAACTGCACTGTTGTCGTTTGAAACACACCACATATTGCAGACACACACCGCGCCAATAAAAGTACAGTGGTGTCATTTTGTAAGTGAAATATATACCATACTTCACCATGACATTCACCTAACCTCTCAATGACAGACACCACACACCTGAAAAGTTACTCAGTCACCTAGGCACCCGAACATCATCCACTCACCAAGCCATTGCCACAATCCTGTCTCACAATACTTTTGAAACACCAACTTACAGAGGCAGCCCCCACTTCTCAAACCAAACCAGTAGCCTGAAATTATTCACCTGCCTCTACCTATGATTCGAGGTATATTATCGATTCTGGATAATTCCACAATTTGCATGTTATCAAGTGCACAGATGACATTTCTTATCTTATTTTATATTCATAAAGCGCCTGAGCTGAAGGCGCTTTTACATAGTTTAAAAGCGGTAACACAAAGAGTGATTTTGATGTCAAGGGCGTGCTTGGGCCAAGGAATGACTGACCGTAACAGAGGGCACGGCGGGGGCATGTAAAGGCAGGGGAGGGACGGGAAGGAGTGGAGGGGCAAGGGGAGGATAGAGAAAGGCAATGGTAAATGGAGAAGAGGTGAGCCTTTAAGAAAAGAACTAAAAGGAGGTTAAGGAAGGGGAAAGCTCAATGTAGAGGAAGTTTATTCCAGTGGTATGGTGCAAGGAGGGAGAAAGATCGAAAACTGAGATTGGGCACAGGGAGGAGGGGCGTCGAGACAAAGAAGATTGTGAATGAAGAGTACGAAAGGGGGGACGTAAAAATAGGTGAGAGGGGCGAGATGAGGTGGGGCAATTCCATGGAGAGATTGAAAGATGATTTAAAGGTATTTGAAAAGACAGCGGGATAGTAAATGGGAAGCCTATGAAGTTGACGGAGAGGCAAAGTGTGAGAATTAAGTGACAGATTGAAAATAATTTTTTATTTTAAGCTTTCGTGACTGCAGGGATTCATATTCTTGGTTCTTTCGGTAAAGTCACGTAGAATGTGGTTTTCACACCTGATGATGGTTGCTTGTGTTGCAGTCGAAACGTCGTGAGAATTTTATTGTTTTATATTTTTATTATTTTATTGTTTCCCTTCTACGTGACTTTACTGAAAGAACCAAGAATATAGATTGAAAATAACCCGCGCGGAAGCATTTTGGATTTGTGGGAGGGGAGTGCGTAGGCAGAGAGACCCAAAAAAGATTTCCAGTAGTCTAGATGGGTAAAGATTAGAGCTTGAACCAGGAGTTTAGCGGCAGAAAGTAAAATGAGGGTGGATTTTCCAGATATTGAATAGATGAAAGTGACAAATGCAAGTAGTTGTGGCAATGTAGGTGGGACAAATGAGGGACGAGTCAAAGGTGATACCAAGGTTGGAACAGAAGAAGCAGAGATGAGGGAGAAAGGATGGAAGGAGATGGTGGGAATGGGAGGGGGAGAGCCGGAAAGAAAATGATTGATGTTTTGGACAGATTGAAAGCGCCATCCAAGATTGGATGGCGGCCAGGCGGGAGGAGCAGATGCAGGAGGAAAGGTGAGGGGTGAGAGGGGAAAGCAAAAAGAAGCGAAAACAGATTCGAGGTGCGAAATATATTTCGAGAGGGGAGTGCCAAAGATGCTGAGGTCGTAGAGAGTGGAAACAAGAGTTACTTGATACAATTTAAAATGTTAAACGTATACAAATCACACGTCATTTATATTTGCTTTGCCTGTAGTAAATAAAGTACACGATGCAATGATTGTATCACTGTTTTATTATTTACTTCGCAATAGCATAGGCAGAGCATGTATATTAGAGTTAAAACACTTTATAATGAACAGAATAAAATTAAATGAAACTGAATTTTCCTCAATAACTTATGCCATTCAGTGCTTGCGCTATACCTTAAAATCGTTGGGTCTCACAACAGGAAAAAAGCCCACACTATATTTGCTCAGTCTATCAAATATCATGTGCGTTAAACAGTTTAAACCTAAATGTTTGAACAAAATTACATACAAATAAACCTGGTACAATGTATGTACATATAAGTCTGTGCTTATGGACCGAACAAATGTCAAAATGTAGCAAACACAAAAGTATGGTGATGCATGCTGCGACAAATAGAGGAATGCATGAATCAGAGAACACAAATTATAGACGTGATTCCGACGAAAACCAAGTGGGCTTGGGCAGGACAGAAAGAATGCGTGACATCGGCTCACGTGCAGTTGCATGGCACAGCAGGCCTGTGGAAGATGGTGATGGAATGAAGACACGTTGATCCAGCAGTGGATTGATCATGGCTGTCGATGACTATTTCTGTACAAAAAAGAGAAACTTAGGCATAAATATTCACAAGGACCTTAACGGGCCAACACCTGAGTGAACACGAAATATTGCAAAAGGGCCCACATCCTTGTAATTATAAAACACAGAGACATTGTTATAAAAGAAGTCCCCTTTAAATACGTCACACGTTATTACATTAAGCTGTATAAAAAACACTTTTCTTAATTCCTCTTAGTAACACGCGTGCGCGGCTGTCACCGGTATCAATTCATCATTGTTATATGTCCCACGCAACGATTCCGGCGGGAGCGCGAGGTCACAGCTTGCGGTGAGAAGCGACGGCTTCCCGTGGGGTCATGGCCCCACTCGCCAGGGCCTCCCTGAGCTGTGGCCGGTGGCTCAGGGCCAGAGCTATGGCCCGCACAGTGCGGCGGTAAGAAGAAGAGGAGAAGGAGGACCCTCCCAGCTGAGAATAAACCTCCTGCTCCAGCTTCACAGCCACGGGAGAGAGATCGCTGACGGCGTCCAACGAGTCTGGCTCAATTCCGCTCCGCGCCTTGGAAGAGCTGGGCCCCACGTCTCCTTGGGTATTCATGGAACGCGATTCCACCTCCCCTTGTGTGGTCATGGCGTATGACCCATCCTTCCGTTGCCTCTTCGCGGAGCTTGGCTTCGTGTCCTCTTGGCTCTTCATGGAGCCTGAGCGCACCTTCTCACGGAGTCTAACTTCATCGCTTTTCTCAGCCAAGGCTCGGGCCAACATTGCCCGGGCTGTGTCCCGCAGCTGAGTGATGATACCTCGCCCGGAGCCAGAATACGAGGAGGTTGATGATGAGGAGACGGTCGATGATGATGAGGAGGCGCTTGACGAGGATGTTGAACTCTTGCGACGTGGCCCACCGCTTACCATCACGGGCCGCAAGGGCCCCAACGAGTCCCTGGCCTCGTAGAAGCCTCGCCAGCGTTCGTACATCTCGGCTGCCAGGGCCGCCACCGCGGGGTCGCCCCCGCGTCGACGCCGCAGCCTCCGAACGGCGCGGCCGAGCCCGGTGGAGACGAGGAGCTCCCGGGACGGGACCTTGTGCCGCAGTGCGGACAGAGCATCCACCAGGCGGCGCTCGCCCTCCTCCTCCACCTCCTCTTCACTCTTCCTCCACCCCTCCGCCTCTCGCGTTCTGTCAACAGACTCAGAGTCCATCGCCCTGCGCTCCTCCGTGCCCTCCGGCCTCGCACCCATCCCCGCATCGCGCTCCCTGCCCGCCCCTCCGCCCGTCTCCTCGTCCTCCCGCAGCCGTTCGCGCTTCGTCCCCGCGTCCCCCGCGTCCACCCCGGCCCCCGAGTCCACCCCGGCCCCCGAGCCCCCCCCGGCCCCCGAGTCCACCCCGGCCCCCGCGGACCCCGAGTCCACCCCGGCCGCCGAGTCCACCCCGGCCCCCGAATACACCCCGGCCCCCGAATCCACCCCGGCCCCCGAGTCCACCCCGGCCCCCGAGTCCACCCCGGCCGCCGCGAGCGCGTCCAGGAGCCGCTCCACGTCCACGAGGGCCACGACGCGGCGCAGCGAGCCGAGGGTCGCCTGCCGAAGGGGGCCTCCCCCGGCCCGGGTCCCGGGGGGGCTGCCGCCGGGGCTCTCCCTGGGCGTGCGGATCACGAAGCGGTCCATTGGCTTTGCCTTGCGTCAAAAGGTGTCGTTTACAACGATTTCATTCCACCTCCTCCCCCCAATTCATTCATTCGTACACTCAATTACGGTCGGTCGGGCGTTCGTTCTGTGCGTACGCGTGCAGGGATGAACATACAGCGATTCATTCACGGCCGTCGATGTTCTCAGTCCTATAAGTTCGCGTTAATCCCGAGCATTAATTCATTCACTAATTTATTCCGGTCGGTCAAAAGATTCCGCTTCCGATAAACTTCATTCTCATGCAGTCACGGTACAGTGAGGCTCCCGCCCCGCCACTGTAATTCATTCGCCCATTCACTTACAATTCATCTCGTTCACTAACTCAAACACCTCGCCAAATGCATTCCCTCGCTCGCGCCGCTCCAGTCGTTCACTGCCTGAATCCTTCAAATTTAAAGTGGCGGTCATTCATCGTCAAATGTTTACCTCAGCTCCGTCCGTTCGTTCGTTCATCGCGCGTCAAATAATTTAACGAATTGGGGTTTCTAAAAAAACCCATCAACTTGCCCTCGTCCCTCACTCGTTCGCTCACTCGCTCATCGCCAGCTGTTAAATTAGCGAATTAACTCATTCACAAATTTCGTTCGTTCGTTTGTCCACTCACTATGGAGACGCGCAGGTACCAGGCCGCGCCGCGGAATCGACTTTTGGTATCGGCGACCCCGGAATCGAATCATCGTGGCATGGGCGTATCGATTCCCTCACGCGTCATTTTGCGGCTAGTTCGATTATTTAACGATTGCTGCCAATTTCCTGCAAAGCTTGCATGCAGGACGGTACCGCGAAGTCGGGGATAGACTAAATGACACTGAATAATACGAATGGGACATGAATACGGACACGACAGGAGGCGATTGTATCGATGGAATCGCGACCGTAAAACTACCAGAATCAGTTCACGATACTCGCGGATCGATTGCAGTAAGTGTAGCCGATCCCATAATCGTTTCCGGTAGAACTCCTATAATCCGCGATCCCAAATCTTGACTTAAAACTTTCTTGACTGCAGGAATTCATATTCTTGGGTCTTTCGGTAAAGTAAAAAAAAATAACAAATTTGTATTGTTATTTTTGTTATTTTCTTTGAACCTATCTTCGTGACTTTTACCCGGAAGACCCAAGAATATGAATCCGCGATCATATTCGCGGTTCCGATGTTCCGCAAGACCTTTGTTTATCCACGCCACCGAATCTTCATCTGATCCGTGGATATTCCCCGTTTTTCATGTCCCGTAACGCGTAAATGATCTTCTTCCACGCGTTCGTCCCACTCATGCGGAGTGTTTTCCGCTGTCCTCCTGCTCCATCTCTCTCCAATCCTTGGGCCACCACGGTCCGATCGCACCACATCGCCCCCCCCCACCACCACCTCTTCTTCTGCCTTCCTCTTGATCTCTTAAATTCCTTCCACACCTTCTGACCCACGTAATTTTCCTGTTGTCTCTCAACATGACCTAACCACACCAGAGCCCTCTATCCCTCTCATCTTCTCTGTGATTCCTACCAACTTGAGTCTTCCTCTTCACTTCTTCATCCTCTCGCCATTTGTCCTTCATTATTAAACCAAAGATCCACCGTAACATTCCCATCTCTGTGACTGCCATACAACAGCACCGGCCTCACCACCGTCTTGTACTACACTATACACTACACTATACACTACTATATTACACTATACACTACTATACACTACACTATACTACACTATACACTACACTATACACACTACTACACACTATACACACTACTACACTATACACACTACTACACTATACACACTACTACACTATACACTACTTACTATATACTACACTATACACTACTTACTATACACTACACACTATTACACCATACACTACTACAATATACACTACTTACTATACACTACACACTTTTCCCTTCAACCAAACTGGGATCCTCTTATAACAAACCGCACCCGTCCTCTCTCGCCATTTCAGCCATCCAGCCCCAGTTCTTGTTCTCATCTTTCCTTCCACTGACACCCCCGGCACAGCCCGCTGCACCCAGCCACTTAAAACTCGTTCCCTCTTCTTCTCGTACACCACGAGATGAGTTTAACACAATATCATCCGTAATATATTTACGCCGTCTAACCCACAACAACCTGTATTATGGACCACCAGACGAGATCTCTAGGCACCCTGCCCTACGCCTTCTCTAGATATTGCGGAAACGATTATTATTGTAATCCGCAGGAAATAAATCGCGGATAACAATTTCACGAATGAATAAGCAAGCACAGCCAGACGTGAATGATCAATGGCTCGAGGCTCACGGTAAACGACTCCACTGACGGAGCGTTAAATGCAATGAATGCCCGAAATGCAATGACATGGAGCGCGTTTCTACGCTCATCTCTTTCATCAACTCGCCGAATCGATCAGAGTTAAATATTGTCAAGACGAAGGTCCCCCGTGTAGCCTCAACAGGCTATTTGGGGCAAGTGCTGTTAGCGAGCACCACCTATGAAGGCCGGCACGGCACACGAGGGGGTGGGTGGCCAACACGACGTCCCGTCCGCCTTTGTCTCTCCATTTCGGATGCTTTAACACAGGGGCGGGGAACCTTTTTTTCTGCCAAGGGCCATTTGGATGTTTATATAACATGATTCGCGGGCCATACAAAATCATCAACTTAAAAATTAGCCTGTTATATTTGGTCAAACATTTAATTAACTCACCCATAATGTGATGGGCTGGAACTGTTTCTCTTTGGTGAGGCGTGTGGTGATGCTAGCTGGTGTTGATGATGTTAGCTGCTATTGATGATGTTAGCTGGTGTTGATGATGTTAGCTGGTGTTGATTATGTTAGCTGGTGTTGATTATGTTAGCTGGTGTTGATTATGTTAGCTGGTATTGATGTTAGCTGGTGTTGATGATGTTAGCTGGTGTTGATGATGTTAGCTGGTGTTGATGATGTTAGCTGGTGTTGATGGTAGCTGGTATTGATGGTAGCTGGTATTGATGATGTTAGCTGGTGTTGATGATGTTAGCTGGTGTTGATGATGTTAGCTGGTGTTGATGATGTTAGCTGGTGTTGATGTTAGCTGGTATTGATGATGTTAGCTGGTGTTGATGATGTTAGCTGGTGTTGATGATGTTAGCTGGTGTTGATGATGTTAGCTGGTATTGATGATGTTAGCTGGTGTTGATGATGTTAGCTGGTATTGATGATGTTAGCTGGTATTGATGATGTTAGCTGGTATTGATGATGTTGCTACTACTCGCAACTGCTTTTCCAGGTTTGCTCTCCTAGATTTATTGAATTTCGAGTCCCGCCTGCGGTTGCCTTGGCAGGGCCAGCGACCAAATTATTTCGCGGGCCTTAAATGGCCCGTGGGCCGGACGTTCCCCACCCCTGCTTTAACACATCACACGAGGTACTCATTTATGGCTGAGTTGGCCTAGGAAAGGCCCAAGACCGGTTCAATTATTCGCCACTGCTGTTAGTCGTGAGCGGGACTCGAACGCCGGTCGCCATGCACTGCGCCGCAAGCTCTGGTCAAACAACCCCCAGTGTGGCATGGCCCTCCATCCAGCAGTGGATCGACAGCAGTGGTTGTACTGTTTGCGTGTGCCGGGTTATTTAAACCCGAGCTAACACAGGGGTTGAATTCCCAGCCACAGCAAACGTCACTGGAGAGTGACGTTTGAAATTGTCAAACCCGTCCATGACGTCACGCGATTTTTGACCCCCCCCCCCTAGTCACACAGCGTCACAAAAAGTCAGACCCCCCCTCAAATGACGTCACAAAGCTCTGCCCCCCCCCAAAAAAAGTGCTTCAAATTGCCTTAAACTATTGTCATTGTAGTGCGTATTTAATGTGCCGCTGCACTCTGATGTTGTATGAGAAAACATTTATTAGAAAGTCTATTTAATTAAGTAGAACGTCTAGATTTATTTAAAGTTTCGCATTTTGATGTGATGTCACATTTCTCAAACCCCCCCCCCCACCTCGTCACAAATTGTCACATGTCTGACCCCCCCCCCCCCCCCCTAGTGCGTGACGTCATTTATGGACGGTCCCCAAGCAAATCCCCATGACGTATGCGGTGTAACAACCACCACCACGTGGCGATAGCTGCTTCCGGCAGTGGCTGAACAGAGGGCAGTAAATGCTCAAGTTACTTCAAAGCAGGCCATTTTATTTTTGCAATAACTCGATATGAAATGTTATGTTCGGTGAAGGTCATATAGCCTCGAAATACCATTTGTTATGTGCATCGGGTCCTAACACCGTTTGTCTAACATTGTCAGAGATTCCTCATCTCGAATACAAAAAACTGCCCTTTGTTTCCCAGCAAAGTGCCAACCAGCGAACGTGCCAACACAAAGGTAGATTTTTCATGTGGCAGATTGACAGTCACCTCCCCCTACAAATATTGGCGAATAAAACAATGATGCGAAATTAGGAAAGCCTACAACTTGAGTTGGGAAGACCGTCCAGAAGTGGGTTAGTCGTGGCCGATTGTGATGAGCATTTTAGCCACTGCTTTTAAGGCGACATCCACTGTTCAAAGCCAAGGTTGAAATCATAGCATGTTCTTTGCATTTCAGAAGACTGGCACATGTTCCATGGACTCTTCTCGTGCAGCTACATCCAAGGGTGTTCATCTATACCCCGATTTACGTCGTTTCGCAATACGTCGTCACTTTATTAATACTACGTACCCGGTTTACGTCGCCTCAACCCCCACATTTACGTCGCAGACGGCACCATCCATCATCTCGTATCCAACACCTCCACCTGCCATGTAAATTGCATTGACTTCGTTTCGATATTCGTCGTCGCACCTTTCAGGAACGCATCCCCGACGTAAACCGGGGTACTATATTAAATGATTAATTTCGTTTATTTTTTTCTGACTGCATATGTTCACGGTTGTGCCGTATAGCGCTCCAACCGTGTTGACGTGTCGCCGTGCGTGTTCGGCACAATGTCTGACAACAGCGAATTGTGATAAATGTACAAGCGAGTTAGCAAATGAGCGAATATGATTAGCCATATAAATATGCTTCTACTAAAAGGCTTTCAAACATTAGGTAGCGCCAATATCAGAATCTTTCGGCTGGAGGAAGCTGACGAGCTATGAAGCTCGTTTTCGCAGACGTCTAGAATGGGCGGGTCGGCAAATTAAAACAGCAAACGATTAAAAAACGATAGGAGTGCAAAATAGAGAAAAACGTGCAACTGCTCTGGCCCACAAACTAGCCTTTGAAACATCTACCGTAGACTCGCACCCTATGGTGCGTGTTGTGTGGATATTTTGCGAAGTAAACGTCAAAACACCAAGTCATCGTATTCGGTCATTTATTTTGTGCAGCCGCAGAAAAATTTTTTCCAACTCCGCTATGAAAAATTATACACAATGTACATGCTGACAGATTGCAAAAATGGTGGAATTACAAAGCTTTTATAAATAATTTATGACAGTAAATAAAGTTATGTGCAACAATTTATTTTTGGATTGAGAAGTAACATTTAATTTATACTTCAGGTTATTTCTAGTACTCACTTCTGTACTGAAAATTTGCATCGCACTTAAGTGGTGATGAACAAGCGAGCCGACCAAAAAGCTTCTATTTAAAATCACTTACCTACGTTAGCGATTCATTAAACCCGTCTTCCACTCCCACCACTCCAACCCGGCTCGTGTGTACACCACTCGGCAAGCGAGACCTCAATGTACGAACTTCATTACAGATGCACGTTCTAATTAACAATGAGCTAATGTTGCACTTTGTGGGCTACAGGATGGAGTTTAAGAAACAGACCTACAAGAACTCATAACTGATATTTGATTCAGGACGATTTACAAAATCGGCAAACCGCATTAGCACGCACACACAAAACACACGTAAAATGGCGATGCTTTCTACACAACATTGCGTCCCGCCAGTGAATAGGACAGAACGGCAAAATTACTGTGCGAGTGGACAATGCTGAGGCGGTGTCGACAAAAAGACCCGGACCGACCCCATCGTCAGCTCTTGAACATGGGCAGTAGCCGCTATTGTGCACTGGCACGACAATTTGAGATGCCTGCATGTTTCTTGTGCCGGGGGTTGGTCATGACTAGTTGGTATGGGTGTCGTGACGCCTAAGGACCTTGAAAAAAAAATCTTGGCTTTAAAGGTTAAACCACCTATCAGGATGGAGCAGGTGCTGTTAACAGGATTGTCAAAGGTCACAGGCCAAAAAATAAATCACAAGAAATCGCATGACACACTGTGGTGTTTTACACATTCAAGCCGCGCACTTTTTAATTTTTACCAAGAATAATTTACACGAGCAAAACAGTGGCCGTTTTCGAATGCAGGCAAATCGACCGGGGACCTCTCATTCCTGCCTGATGAGCCCACATATGAAACAAGTGGTCGCGTCACAAGCAGCAGTTTGCCAATTCTCTCCAACTGCACAAAAACACACGGCTTACCTGCGTGCAAAGTTTTCCAAGCCCTCTGGAGTCAATATATGCAGTCAAATGAGAATTGAAATCATTGTAGTACCTGGCAATTTTTTTCTACAAAAGTTAACTTTTTTATGCCCTCCATAGGGCTAAATGATGATTGGAAGGCAAGCGGATGGAGATTAAAAGACAAAAATCTCTTCACATTAAATATAAATGTGCCACTAAACATTATCATCATCATTATAATTATCTGCTGGATACCACCAGGTCATTTACTGGACAGGATTCGGTAACCCAAGAAAAGACACTGCTACCAGAACTGTTTTGCCCATCATTTTTACAGCCCTCCAAACATTACCTGGTCTCTATACAATACCCGTTACCCAGGTGTAATGTTTGGACGGTCCAAGGCAGATGGTGCATAACAGAGAGCTGCGACACCAAAGCATCATGATAACGATGACGAGCGGCTGCAGAGTTTTGAATCGTTACATTCTGTTTTTTCTTTTCCATCACCGACTTGACTACGTTTACAAGGCTGCGACATTCACAAAAAACAATGCACACATAACATTTGGGCGATTTTTTTGAAATTGAGTTGCTCACAAATTCACTGCAATATTCAGTCTCACAAGTACACACAAAAGACTTGGCCCAACCCTCCCCACCCAATAAACCAAACAACTCTTGTTTTAATGGACCACAGGGGTGTGCTGTTGTGCATCAGCAGCAGCACCAGCAGCAGCAGTTCTGCGTCTCACTGGGTCGGTAGGGGGGCATCAGGAGTTGTGGGTGACACTGCGTCTTCATACAGCCTCTCAATGAGTTCCTGGTATATCTTGGTCACAACTGGCCTCTTGAGCTTCATTGTGGGACCTGAAATACAGCAGCAGGCGCTTCAGTTCATTGGACAACTCGCTCGAGTGACAACTCACATTGATTCAGGGTTATCTGCCCAACCTGAACTGCCTCATGCCTAGCAAAGGCCGATGGAAAATAGCCTCACCTGAAAACACGAGCCCTCTTTTCATGTGTATAGTGGATGAAGGCCTCTAAATGCTGGTCCGTACAGGTTTGTGAAGGAGGGGAGCATAAACACATGGCAGAATAGCAGTAAACTCCTGGATTTTGCGGCACTGCCCTCTCGATTCCCCACCACAGCCCCGCAGTCATGAGACAACCCATCTGTGCATGGTAATCGCCCTTCCAAGCCCTCTGGAGTCAAAAACCTGCTTTAGCTTTCGAGATGTGACGGGACCAGACAACAGGCGATTTTGGTCATTCGAACATCACCACACTAAAAAAATTCCATCCCCAGAAATACTACTATACTTACTAGGCATGCAATCATTTTTCTCCCCTCCCTGCTGCCCCTCACACCCCCAACCATGTGATTCGTGGAAGTTGTGTCCTGATTCTGGATCACAATTCTACTCAAGAATGAATTATTTTTGTTAAATTGTGGCGACTGTCGCACCTGTAGCGACTGTAGGAGTCACGGGAACCAACCGTTGACATACAAGACATGCGATTGGTAAACAATCTATTCCACCCACATACGGAGACTATAAAGCCAACTTACCCTGGCGAATTCATGCATCATTGCGTACTTACAAAACTTATATTTTGTGCTGACAATTTATTTCACAAAGAAACAAACTGTTCTTTTGGGTGGGCGGCCGTGTCAATTGGCGCTTTGTTTTTACTTTATGACGCACAAGCAAATATCACGTGGGAGTGGTTGGCTGCCAATGCCATTTCGTCGTTCGTGCCGAAACTCAGCTGCCAATCAACTTGACCCCACACTATCGTCCGCAAGCTACCTCCAACAAGGCCTTTATCTCTAGCGTGCAAGGTGACTCTGTTAGGCATCCAATTACCAATAAGGTGTCAAATTCCAAAGTATCTTATGTTCCTACCTTTGTACTGTCCTACTCTGTTAATGTCAGGTGCACAACAAAACCCGTAGCAAGTTTCTGTACGAAGGACATAATAGTTTAAGCTCACGCCCGAGATAATGATTGAAAACAGAACTGAGCATTATTGTGGAGCATTATGAGTAATGGAATAAACAGAACATTACCCAGGCTCTATTAATAAAAAAATATATTTTTTAAATTGGTGCAATCTCCACAGCAAAATATTTAATCTTCACACCTCATTTGTTTTTGCGTTGAACAGGGCCCTGACGTTTTGAGGGACTGCCATCACAAATAATATCCGGAAATCCAGGCAGCTTTTATTTATTAAGCCGGACTGCTGCTGGGACCCTGAATGTTGAAACGGGTCCAAAGTTTGCTTGTGTGACCAAATGCTGCTGTATAGAAAATATATATTGGGGTGAGATGAATGTAGGTGGAGCTAATATAAGAACTCGGATCTCAAAATACAGTATCAACGAAGCAAGGGCTTGACATATAGGACCGTCTCATTTGGCCAAACCATTGTTTTCATGGTGCAAACAAAAGGTGCGATCAATAATTAAATGTGCAATTTTAAACCGGACAACCTTTGCTTACGATTGTTTTGCTCACACCTCAAAATGTAGTTTGCAAAACGGGTTGAGCCAGATTGAGATTAAATAGATGGTGAAAATAAATGTTGAAGTCTTTCCAAAAACCACCCATGTCAAGCCATGGCAGTCCAAATGTACACAGTACTTTTCCCCATATGCAACACTATTTATGGTCTTTGGCGTTGTTCGCTAAATGGGGAGTGGTTATTAGCAACAATATCTATTAATTCTAGATTTGAAGCTTTCGTGACTGCAAGGTGGAACAGTCACAGCAGAATCGCTGCACCGCTATTCTGCTGTGACTGTTCCACCTGAAGATAGAAGCTTGTGTTGCCTCCGAAGCATCGTGATTTAATTTACTTTTCTTTTATTTTACCTACGTGACTTTACCGAAAAAAACTAAATATGAATATCTATTAACACTGGCATGGCACACGAGAGACACGCACCCCTAGATTGCACATTTACACAATTCACGAACGCACTGCATTGAACGAAGAGCGATGCACACCAGAAATCAGTGGACACATTCACATTGTTGGGCACAGAATATTGCTAGGAAAGATCTGTGTTTAGTCCTAAAAAGACTGCAGAGGCACATGTTCTTGTAAACATTAGGGCGTGACCAGCACAATGCTCAACTGCCTTTGTCTCTCCAAATGGTATACTTACACACCACACCAGGTATTTATGTTGGGCCGAATTAATACAATGGTGGCACCCCCAGTTCCGGATCAGAACTTAATCACAATAATTGCACTCATGGCCAGGAATGGCAACCCAGGGGGTCCAAAATGCAGCACTGTGTATTCAATGCGAAAACAACACCGTTCTGCAGAGCTGGGCATGGCGACAGTAAGGGCCGGTGGGGGTTTTGGTGGTTACACGAGATTTCAGCGCAGGGAGTGAGGAGCTTGGAAACGGGGAATGTGTGGGATTTTTTGTGTCACCCCCCTCATATGGGAGACTCTCCAGATACTATTTTGCCCCAATTTTAATTATGCATGTTCATCCAGGAAAGCCTCAGACTCTCAGTACTCTTTTGAAGAGGGCCCTAACAAGTTTGTTTTTTGCAGTTGGGGGGCAATGATTGCTAGTTTATATATTCCAAATCGAGTAATTTGCAAGGAACATCCTATTTAAATTCAACTGGCCAAACATCCAAATATGGAATCCATAAGAATATAATTTAGACTGTGGGACTTCCGAGGTCATGGTGTAATGGTATGGTAAGTATATATTTTTTCTAAATAAGTTCCATTGTTAATTAATGCACAAACCACAAGCAGACAAGCCCACGGCCCCGAATAAAAAATAAGCGATGCACCACATTCACACTACTTTCGAGCAACAAAAATAAATTAATTAGGGGTATAATTAAATGCAAGACTTTGCCCATCCCACCTACTCATGGGCCCACAGTGCGTCTGGTGCAGCACATCGTGACACGTGGCCATGCCAGAAGAAAGCTTTGCTGCTGTACAACGCGACCATAACACCCGGCCATACACTTCGTACAAAAAGCACAACAGACAAATATCCCCCCTGTAACATTTACACACCCTTGGGTCAAGAGCTGTTCACGAGAACCTACGAAGGCCAGGACGCCACACGAAGAGGCAAGGTGGCCAAGCACCACACCAGACCACCTTCAACTCCCCAGTGGTGATTGTTTATACACACACACCACCCTGGGTACTCATTGGAGGTTGAGTCAACCTCGCGAAGGCCCGCACACGAACGTACCCAGCTCTCCGCCGGGGATGGAGAAGTCGCGCAACAGCAATTCCCACTTCTGCACGCGCTGCGCGTTGGAGGGTGCACGCTTGTTGACGCGCTCGATGCCGTCGCGGATGGCACGCTCCACCACCGGGTCCTTCCCACCGGCGATCTGGGAGGCGCGCGTCGCCGTACTGCCCACGCGCTGGCACCAGTGCACCACCTCGTCCGTCAGCGCGTCGTCCGGCTCACCAGAGTCACCGTTCGACTCGCACTGCCGCCGCCGGCATGAAGGCAGAGGTGGTAGTGGGTGGGGGGGGGCGGTGGAGAGGGGGGGATGTTACCATCATCATTAGGTTACGATTCGATCCATTGTGGGTAAAAGTCTCCCCTGGGTGTTCTGCGATACAACACTTCGAAGGGGTCATAGCGCACGAGAATCAGCTTGCCCCGTGACCACATCCAGTATCACATCGACATACCCAGAGACAGCTCTCAATTAGAGATCAAGAACTTCTACCAAAGGTCGTTTAATTTTTATACGCGAATAAAAGGGAATTTATTTACGGTATAAAGGTAGAGCGTTGGCAGAGTGTTCGGTGCGCTGTTTACAATATTCAGCAACCTTAGTTCAATTATTGGCCACAGCTGAGCAGTGACCAGCATACTGAAGATCAAGATACCGACACTACTGCAGATTATACGATACAAGCGCTACTTGATACCAAGCCTCTCCATTCTTAAAAAACAACTCACACCTTGTTGGTTAACAGGTGTGCATGTGAAAGTGCTCTAATTATTGAAACATTTTATTTAACAAAAACTACCGACGTCTGACCATTGGCAGGCATCGCTAAAGCTGCCCCCCCCCGCTCTCACTGCAGGGACTGTGCAATGTCCCCAGGGTCCAATGGCTGCCCCGAGCTGCCCCTCACCTTCAGCGTAAGCAGCACAGAAAGGAACTTGCGGCGGTCGCCGATGACCATGGCATTGCTGACGACGGGCAGTTCCTCCTTGATGGCGTCCTCGATGGGGATGGGAGGCACGTTCTCGCCGCCTGCCGTGATGATCAGCTCTGCGTGGCCCAGAGATTATTAGTTTTGTTTTGTAATCGTGACCTACCGAATGTGTAATCGCAGAAAACCGCTCTCGTCTAACTTAACACGGCTCATTTTGTCAACCATTATTAACATTTCTCAGTTCTCAGGGCCACAACAAGAGTACAAAAGTGCAATCTACATAATTCGAATTTAGCCCATCTCTCCGTACTCTAGACTCATTTCCCTAATCGTCAACCTATCACATTCGCCTCAAGCGTAAGGCTAGTCATGAATGGATCATGAAAGTGAACCTCCCCGTCCTCGGCGTGCACTCCAAAACTACACACGAACCATCTCCTAAAGCCCTCTCGTCGTGGCTAGGAGACCTCGCGACATTGGCAATCACCTCCTAAGCCACATTTCACGCGAAAAACAAAAGAACCGCGGATGAACGTGGCGTGCGCGCGTCGTTTGGTCATCGCGGCGGAGAGGTCACCGACCTTTGATGCGGCCGGTGATGTAGAGGAGACCCTGCTCATCGACGCGGCCCAGGTCGCCCGAGTGCAGCCACCCATCGTCGTCGATAGCCTCGCGCGTCTTCTCCTCCATGTTGAGGTAGCCCATGAAGACGTGGCGCCCCCAGAAGCACACCTCGCCGCTGCCCTCCTCGTCCTTGCTGTGCAGCAGGGTGCGGCAACCGCGCAGCAAAGTCCCACAGCTGCACGGCGGAGGAAACGACAGTGAGGAACACCGTTAGGAGGTGCAGCACAGCATGTTGGCACAGTAAGGGGAAGGGTGGGGGGGGGGGGCACAGGCGATGCATCTGCCAGTCATCCCCACACCTCCACTTCACAAGGTTGGCTACATAGTGCGAAAAGTTCAACATACATAACATCAAGTCGGTCAACCCATGCTACCTGGGTCTGTCCCGCGACTTCCGGTCAGCGAGCCTTCGACACTTCACGTGGCCTCAAAGTGCACCCTGGTGCAAGCGCCGTAGTGACGTCACCGCCACTGTGTGGCGAATGGTATGGTCGTGCGGCCGAGTATCGTAGCGGTTTGCATTTATTACTTTGAGATTTCATAGAATGTAGAGTTTCGGTTTTGAGCACTGTTATATAACGATGTTGTAATAGACTGTGTGCATCACAGATTTTCAGGTTGTTTCCACTATGTAAAGTCAGCTCTGCTTTACCACTGCACTATTTGCAATTCAACGATAAAATTAAGTACTCAAGCTATAACAATGAACTGGAAGCGCTATAAGCTAGCAGTAAGGATCACTACAGGAAAGCACAAATTTGAAAAGTTTACAATGTTGGAATGCTGATTTCAAAATTTATTACGGTTCATTCGTTTAGTTTACTGCACCTGTAACTCAGTTTTACAGTGTTGATTTCACACTAAAATGGGTGTTTTTTTCCCCATTTGTCTTGATGGCTGTAAGAGGAGGTACTTGTTTCAACAATCATGACAACATTTTGGCAATGCAGCCTCCAACTGACCCCGTTTCCAAGCCTATGCAGCCACCAATGATTAAACCGGGTTAAGTGTAGCAAGTTCAAGGTTTCAGTGCGGTCATCCAAAACACCATATTCACCATATTTATTGTGTTTCTTATCAGTCCGCCGGAGTCATAACAAAGTGCACTAACCGCTGTGCCACCGCTCCACTCCTAAGGATGCAGCAACTGAACAGACCTCGAATAGTTCAGTTACATCACATTCCAGAGCCTGCGCTGTGTGTATGTCGAACTTCTTTTGCACCGTACGTAGTATGTAGCCAACCGCACTAAGCGGGAGGTGCCGAGGAGGAATAACAAACTACACATAATACGCAGTGCTAAATAGATTCGTTTAAAATTTATATTTAAAAGGAGACCGTTCCAGTGGGCTTCGAATGTCAGAAGGAAGAGTGCACCAGACAGTTTCAGGGGGCACATGACGCACCACTTTTCAACATTGTAAACATCTCAAGTCACGATGCCGACAAGGAAGCACAACTGGAATAAAGTGGAGAGAAATCGCACTGAATGTTTGTTGCAAGCGGACAAAAGAATGAACACGCTCGTCCACTGGAACCGAAAACAAACGGCGCGATGACGCAGGTGGCGGTGGCCAGGGGTGGGGGGGTGGGAGAGGGGTGGGCAGCACCATCACCGACTGACCTGCCGATCTGGAAGGCCGTGGGCGAGGAGATGGTGTGCGGGCCAGAGCTCTCGCTCATGCCGTACAGCTCGAAGACGGGGATGTCGAGGCTGAGGAAAAACTCGAGGGTGTCCCGCGTGATGGGCGCTGCGCCCGTGTAGCACTTGGTGCAGCGGTCCAGTCCGAGCGCCTCGCGCACCTTCTTGAAGACAAGCATGTTTGCCAGCGTGTAGCCCATGGGCGCCTCGGCAGGATTGCTGCGGAGAGACGCACGTCGCCATGGCGGTGGTGGCGGTCACGAAATGTTAACTACCTCGCCTTGGCATGCACAGGAGGTCATGGGTTCGATTCTGGGGCCTGACACATGAATATTTGGAGTTTGCATGCTTTCCCTGTTGTCGAGTGTTTTTTTTTTTCCTCCGGGTCCTCCAGTTTTTCCCGCCACATTTAAAATCAACATGCGTTTAGAGTATTTGGCTGCAATAAATTTCCACATAAGCCACTAGATTGAACTATCGTTTGTGACCAGGTCGATTCTGAAAAAGAGATACTGTACACAACTCAGTGGGCCTTCCATGGTAAAATAAAATCGTTAAGTGACAAACTGTCCGACTGACTCGGAGAGAAATTAGGGGTTATTCTGTTGTAGATACAGCGTTAAGCAAATAACAAAAACGAGTCTTTTACGATCAAAAGGAAAATAAAGATCTCTACATGTTTCAGCCCGCTTTTCCCCTTTCAATACAAAGGCCATGTTGGTTCATTGCAAACGTTTAATTAAGCACCAACGTCACTCTAGATGACTGCATTGGCATCCATGCACAAGCAGAGGCTTGCGCTCCACTGCCAAGGCCATTCCCTTGCCAAATTAAATCAAGAAATTTAATATTAAGCTCGCGTGGGAACATTTGGTGTGTAGCAATTCGGAAAATGCAACCATGAATCGCAAGGGGGCTAGATTTGACAATAAGCTAGAACGGGGGAGGGGCAACGTCCCACTCACCCTTTCATGTTGGCCAGGTGGGTCTGCAGCCCCACGCTCTTGGCCCAGCCGGCGATCTTGCGCTTGAAGATGCCCGACTTTGCTGCCGTGGCCTTCATCTTCTCCATCATTTTCTCCCAGACACGCGGCACGCCCATGAAGCCAGTGGGTCGCACCTCCTTCATGGTGACGACCAGGGAGCCCTGCGCAGCCGTGAGCAACACACAATGATAGCCAGCCGCTACGGTTGCCCGCCAGGTGGTAGCGCATGCCCAAGTTAACCGGGTACGAGTGGGTGCACACGAGATGCTCAATTTGCGACAGTTTATGGCATGAGTGGTGCCCGTATAGTACAGAGTAGGTCACCAATTATTGTTTAAAAAAGCATTTGAGCATCCTTCCTTTGTGCGTTTATAGTTTTTTTTTTTCTCCAGACGTTCTGATTTTCCAGCCACAAGCACAAAGACTCAATTAAAATTTGGCCTAAATATTCCAATTCGGGCCCTCTTGAAAATGATGTTTGGAGACCCAGGTGAGGGCTTTCCTTTGGAAACTATAGAATAATTTTTGCAATCTTTTGGAAAAATGAAATCCTCATTATCAGGCACATGTATATCTAGAGCCACACAAACTGAAAACTTATTTCCTCAGAAATGCTTTGTGTTTAGCTTGTTATTCCCCCGCACCTACAATAAGCACGGTTGGCTATGTACGTTGCATAAGAAGTTCAACATACATACAAGTCACCACGGTGGTGTACCAGGCTAGGTCCATGTGAAGTGTAGGAGCTTCGTCGAGAGGTAGTTATCGCACAGACCCAGGTACTATGGGTTATAATTAACTGAAACGACTTCAGCACACTCACCACATGTGCTTCCCACTACCTGTTGCGTTTTTCCCATTGCACACACACACGAAAACACACGAAACACACGGTGCTTGGGTATTTACCTTGAGGGCGTCTGGCTGAGCAAAGTAGGTGACGCCGCCGAAACGCATGGGCAGCCAGATGTCGACTAACTGAGCGGCGATGTGGCTCAGGGGCAAGTAGCTGATAACCACCTCCTGGTAGTTATCGTCTGCCGAGCGCAGCTGTGTCAGCTCGCCCGTCACGGTCGCCGTCCATGTCAGCTGTGGCAAAGCCGCAGAGAGAGAGAGGAGAGGGGGGGAGAAAGCAACGTTAGCGTCTGGGCGTTGCATTATTCTAACAAATTATTTGCATCCAATTGTAAGGGAACTTCCGTTATCCGAATTTACGTCGAGGGCAGGGGGGCTGTTCTGATTTAACTGGGTCTGTTTGAGACCAACTCCTAATATCCGTATGATTCATCGTGGATAAAGGTGGATTAACAGGATACATTTTCTGTTAATGGGCAACGATTCCTTAACTGCGAAAAAGGCAGATAAAAATCGGATCAATTTTGCACTTCTGTAAGATTGCATTCGGTTTATTTATCCACGGATGATAATAAAGATTAATACCAATAATTCTAGGCGACTGTTCTTATCCGTGAAGAAAGACGAAGATAGCCGAAATAATCCATATACAAGTGGAATGTCTGCAGATGGGAACTGAGGGTATGGATAATTGTAGTCAGGGCAACGGAAGCAAGGGGGATAAATAACCCCAATGACTCCAGAGCCAGAGAACCTCACGCGAACATGACACAGAGCAACTCGGGTACAGGACTCCCAAGAAATTATTTTTGGGGTCACTTCAACCACAGCAATCTTGCCATCACTGCTTCACGCTGTACAAAAGATCGCATCGCTGCATTATTGTCGTAAAAAAAAAAACGACATTGGTGACAGGACTGCGACCATAATTTTATACAAGTGAGAACCTCATTCTATCACAACTTTCTACTCGTATTCAAACTCAGGATCTTAAGAGGTTCTGGCTCATCACTCTTATATGGACATTATGAATCCCTTGTGTAATCCAGTCACTCTGTTTGACACGTTCCTCGACTTGTTTGCAAAGATTAGAGGAAATCAATTTCCATACACACCCATAAGAGACGGGGGATATTTAACCCACTCCCATGTGCACGACTTACAACTAAATGATGCACAAAGAGGCTCCTTCCTTGACGAGCTCTGTCATCTTATTTGCAACACAACTCAAATACCAGTTTTGTCATTTGGTATAAACCTTGTAGCAATTTCATTGAATGCTCAATTTTAACAGGAAGAAAAAGCCGTTAGGGCAAAAACAGACCAGCGGGGCCACTTTATATTGTTTTGTAAATCAATTCAGAAACTCGGCAAAACGAGCAGATATGACAGGCAAGACTAAGCTTAAAGCTGCCATATAGAGTTCAGCGGCTAAGTGTGGATTGGTGTCGAGTGGAAAGTCAATAGTAGCCCTTTTCCAGCAAGAGCCATGCCAGTGGCCTTTGCGGTTGGGGAGATTTTACACAAAACCGCGATGCACTTGCCTCACCAGACATCCGAATCTGTCTCGGGGCCAAGCAGGGCCAGGGGCAAAGTTGATCACTTTGTCATACGCCGCGCTGCGCCAGGGGGTGGCTCGACACGGCCCCTACGCAGCTTAAGTGCACAGTAGAACAGAAATATAACTTACGTTGTCATGGCTCAGCATAACCCCCTTGGGTGAGCCTGTCGTGCCGGACGTGTAGATGAGAGAGCAGCACTGATTGGCCCTCTGGGATGCGATGATTGCATCGAGCTGAGCGTCTGGGACCTCCTCGCCCGCTCGCATGAACTCGGCCCACTGTAGGAAGCGCACGTCATTAAGAGACATTAATAGAGCACTCGTATTCAAGTTCACAGGTTGTCATAAAGGCAGGCAAAATGCTACTACCGGCATGCAAATGTTGTTGGGGAAAGGTCAGCATGCGAGACAACTGTGTTGATGGAACAGCTGAAATGTATCGCCTTTGGAGATTTTGCCATGTGTTGGTGGGTAAACACATTGCAGACAAAACGTATTCTTCGAAATGCAGCAATTCTTACACACACGATTCAACGCATAGCGCGAGCTAAAAAATAAATAAATTGATGATTGAATAATAGATGCATTGTTTCACGTATAATTATCCTAAATGCACTAGAATCGAATAACTATTTATGAAAATCAAGTGCAAAGTGAATTCTACGTTTATACCCGAGGAAGCAAAACTGTCGGGCACGAGATAAAGAAACAATGTAAACGAGACGGTAAACACAAGAAAAATCTGAATCTATTCCATGAGATAGTGTGCTTTTTTATCGTTACTTTTATTCTCCACAACACTAATACGTAATTGTATCACATAATTTTGCATGAAATTTGCACTCTTACCTTATTACATTACATTTAAAGGTTCACCAGCATTGGTTCAAGCAACGCCTGACTGCAGATGAGACAATGTATGTTTAAACGGGTCCGGAGTTTGCTTGTATTGAACCAATGCTGCTGAAATAATGCACTTCCAGAAGGCCTTGTGGTTCACAGAAAGTATTTAAAATAACAAATGTTTATGTGGAAGGCCATATATATTTACATATAAAGGAGACGTTCATTTATTTTGTTACTTGAATTGGAACATGATGCCATAAACAGAATCATTAAGTGCGCATGTACCGACTATTTTACTATTGACCCCTCAGAAACCATCACTGGCATGAAGCCAACCAACCACACAATAATAAATTATATTTATAAAGCGGCTTCCTTCTAAAAAGGTACTCAAAACACTTTCACAAAAATTAGCAAACAAGGTTCTGACTCATCAGTTGTGAAAGTTTGAGAAATTATTGGTATTGCTAGTTGAACATCAAAAATCGCAATGTATTTATTTATAGGAGGAATCTGAGGAGCTATAAAGCTCTTTTTCACAGATTGAATAGGAGTCGGTCAGAGAGTTACAAATACAATACAAAAAAACAATAGGAGTGCAAAGTATAGGAATTGTAAGCAAATAAATGAAAAGGTAAGTAAAAATAAAGCTGAACAATTTGTATTTTTCAGAAGTGACCTGGCCACAAATGACAACTCAACTAAGTATCTTATCACGTGGACATTTATAGCAACCTATTAATAAACATACATACAGAATCTATGTATCTTGCTGGTTGAGTAGCAACAAATGCGACCGTTGCTTGTTTAACAGCACTATGCCTTTGCAGTCTGTACAGATAAACTTTGGTCTTTTACATGGCAATGTAAAAAAATCCCCATCTCTCAAATGAACGTGCTAACAATATCCAATCAAAGAACCCACACGTTTAATGGTTCCCTTGGCTTCACGGTGAAGTGGCGCACTTGGTTTTTCCCCTCGATCACTTACGTAAAAAATACAGCTCATGAGCCAAGCTTAGAAAATGAGAAACATGGCAGTGGGGGGAGGAGGAAAGTGTAGGGGAGGGGGGTGTGTAGGGGAGGGGAGCATGTGGGTGTAGGGGAGGAGGAAGGAAGTGAGCAAGTGGTGAACTCGTTTTGGTAAGAGGAAGGTTACTCGAGTTTGTTTAATTTGAAGTCATCAGAAATTACTTTAAATCGGCCAATGAAATCCACAAAATTCCAGCGAGTAAAGATTCCATGAAGGAACAGCAACGTGAAGAGTTATGATTCATTGAACACATGTCATTGCAGATAAAAAAAAAATTAGCATTTGTAGGTTTGGTTTTTAAATGACTGCAATACTGGTTTTGAGACTCATCAATGGGCAGGAATCCAATCAAAACGTTGCACCAACCAAGCCAACACGCCAGTGTATGACAAGTTGCAGTCAAAACTATTTCACAACAGGATGCCAAACCCAAATTCCCTCACATTTATTAACAATCGACAACATACGGATGGATGCTGGTGGTGTAAAATGGTCAGCAGCACACTGAACTTTCAATCCAGTGGTCACCGGTTTGATTCGATCACCCAGCATGACAGTTGAAACAATGGGGCCCAGCTTCTTCAAATCTACTCGCCTCTGTGTACCCAGCAGCATACACAGGAACACCGTAGTTTGTTGCTTGGCAGGCAGCGTGTTGCAAGGTAAAGTTTAGGTATTCCCACCTCTTCCAAGATGTCTACCTAGCGTGAAACACCCTCTTAAGAGGGACACCCTTGAGCACTACCTATAATGGCGGCAGTTCAGCCTGCATTGGCGCAAGTAATTGCATGGCTGTACCTTTACGAAAACACAAGCACCACTTACCGAATACACGTTGGGCTTTTTCTCCTTCAGCTCCCCCTTGTACTGAACAATGGCCTTGAGGTGAGGAAGCTGAGACTGCACCTGCGAGTTACACGAGAGAACAGAGTTCATCCAATTGAAGGCCCATTCAGTGACTTAAGGGGACAGCACTGCATTTGGCATAACTTTGACTTCAATCATTTTCACGTTAACAATGGTTAGGAAATAGTGGCACGGTGATTAACGCAGTGTCCTATGAACACAGCAATTGGAGTTCGAATCCCGCACGCAAGCCATCACCAGTGGCGAGGGACATCTGAACTGGTCCTGATCACCCACCCAACTCGTACCCAGATTCAATTTCCCAGCATGGTGAAGTATGGTCAACCAAACCCAACGACCAACAAGACATGCAGAGGCCTTTATCCAGCAATGGATTTACAAAGGGCTATTACCTTTGGCAAAAAACAATGTCAATCCATTTCATACAAGCTAAATGAGAGCTATTGGACAAACATCAAACCACAACCAAAAACTATCAAAGCGAAATCAAACTCCAGATTTTCACTTGGCTAAGTCCCAGTCACATATTGCACACTTTACCTAAATCACTATAACCAGTGCAACGACAGTGTGGCGAGTGCACAACCTGGCCAGTTGACCTCCGAACCAGTCCTGCCTGCTGTTCCTCCGGCAGTGAATTCACCAACAAGTATAGATAATCATTATTATTAAGTCTACAGGCCAAGTTTGGTCAATAAGAATGCAAAAGCAAATGAGCTCATGGCAAGAGCACCCAATGTCATGAACGTCTCATGCCCAGCATGGGGAACGTGATGTTTCTCGGCCCCTCCCCACTCACCTCTAGGATCTTCTGAAGCTGCTTGTCATTCTCCACAACAATGATATTCGCCAAGCAGTTATCGGCGACATACTGGCATGCCTCGGCAGAGTTGGTGGTGTAAATCCCGACGGCAAAACCGCTGCACGAGGTCAGAGCGGGGACAAAAACGGAAGCATTACTAAAAGTCTCTCCCCGCTAGCAGAGGAGTGTGGCGTTTGAGCGAGGGTCGGTTGTTATCCACATCAGCATAAACCCCCTGAATTAGTACCAAAGAAAAAATTGGCTTTAGTAAATATATTGATGCAGGCATCGATATAGTGGGATGAAGCACCCTGCGCTATAAACCCAGTGGCACAAGTTAAATTACCAGCCATGGCTAACACTTTTTGCAAGTGATATTCAAATCGGTAATGGGTACCCTCCCCCCCTTTGCCAACCTGTACCGACTAGCGTGGTGAAGTGTGATCAAACAACTATTAGCTGTGGAGAGAGCTGTGGAGAGACTCAACCTCGTCATAGGCATGGGGAAATTTCCACTGCTGGCTCTGGGCTGTAATTGGGAAATAAGTACCAACATAACGCTTAATTGAGCAGCAAACCAGACTTAAAAAATAAATCTATGGAAAAATGAAAAAAGTTGTATTGCTAGGTTAGAGACATCAGAAAACTCATCCATGTTGATATTTCTAAAGACAAAATAAACAGCATTTTTACAATGCAAACTCTTTCTCAGGTTAGTTTCAAGTGAATAGTTGTGCACCGAGCAAAAGCTTCCAGGAGAGACACTGCAAACATTTGCGGCACCCATTTGAGGTCCATGGCGTTTCCTTTACTGTTAATAACACGACAACCGGCGCACATTGTCAAATAATATTCACTATTCTGAATCAGCTATGTCCATGAGACATGCCCTACCTAGTTAGCCAGATTGTGATCAAAAAAACAACCAGCTTGAAAAGGGTGCAGAAATTAACCACAGTTTTAAGATAACCAGTTATCTTTGGACAATGCTCCCTTATGTGTGTTTGGAGTCAATACCAGTGATGAGGGGTAGACTTAAGAGGCAGTAAATGTTTATTACCCAGCCAATATGGCACCAATATCGGAGATGAACCATTCAGCAGAGTTGAAACCCAGGATCCCTACCCCATGGTATCTTTGCAGGCCAAGCTGTCAAGACAGAGCAGAAAAAAAACCAGTGAAAAAAAACATTGTCATCAGTTTTGCACTCTTGTTCCACCGCGTGAAGTTGCTAAACATGTTAACCCGGCAAAGGGTGTGACTTTCTCCTGGCGCCACTTTTCACCCAGTGCCCTAGTCACATACCCCAATAAAATGTCTACACACGCACATATCACAGAAACCCCGTGAGGTTACGGAAAGTTAAATATAATTTTACATCCCCAGCATGCACCACTGCCCAAGGGTGAAATGTTACGTGCAGGTTTTTTCAACATAAACAAAGTTAAATCTATTTAGGTTTTTGTCACCATCAAGTAGTTATAATACCACTGACATGCGAGTGCAGTTAGTGACACATGACAAGTCAAGTCCATAGCTTCATTTTATAACTTTGGGGGGGTGCATGGTAAAAACTTGATAGGCCAAAAAAAGAGCCTAGAAGGTGGAGGTTAATTGAGAGCGAATTAAGAGAGCAAAATATAAAGTTCACCATGTGGCCATCTTTGGAGAGATATAATTTAAACTATTAAAATATCGACTGTCTAGCGTTTAATTGCAAACAACAAATATACATATAGGTTACTCCATTTATCTGGGACACCCTGAATTAAGTTAAGGTTAAAAGTAATTGAGATGAATGCAGGCTTTATTAAGAGTCAAGTTTACAGATGAATCGGCGTGACTAATTTTCATGAGAAAATCAAAAAGGTGGTAGGGTGTGACTCAGGGTGCCTTGTTATGCTATGACCCAATGCATGAAGAAATGTAATTGCAGATTGTCCAATGTGCAGATAAACAGCCCGATAAACACCAACCCAGAATAGAGAATCCCATGCATTGTGCTGCAGAGCCATGCCTTCAGTGTTGAATTTTAGTAAGAGAAAGTGAATTAATGCATTTAGTTTTTTTTAAATGTAAAAACAGGTAGTCATTCCAATTTTACCTGCAATTTCTTTATAAAAAAGTTTATAAATAAATTTTTTTAAAAATCTAATTAAATTAAAAGCAAAACCACAAACTAGAGAAGTGTGTAAGGTTGCAGCGAGCAGAACTGATGGAAATTCGACGTGCCCAAGGGCACGGGGTTCACTTGGTTGCGCCAGCCTGCCACGTGCGCTGCGAGAGGCGACCTTGTGCTCTCCTCGCCGAGTCTGGCTTCGGGAGGTTTTGCAAGCACAAGCTGTGTTGCACGCATTGGCTGCGAATGCAGGCTGTTAATTAGACTTGAAGGGGGGGGGGGGGGTGGGCGGCTAGCTCCTGATTAGCTCTAACCATCCACCACTTACACGCGTTGCATTGAAATGGGTGTTACAAGCCCGGCGCGGACGTGGCGTTCGATGCGCTCACCTTTAGGAAGCTCTTGGCAGCCTGGCGGCACTGTGCGTAGTACTCCTTGTAGGTCAGAATCTTCCAAGTGTTGCCCTCCTTGCTCGCCAGCGCCTTGTGGTCGCCGTACAATTTCACGGTGCGCTCAAACAGCTGGTTTATTGTCTCGGGCGTGTCGGACAGCGGGCCCGACGCGTTAATGCGCAGGAGGACGGCCCCATCCCTCTCCGTGGTCCACAGTCGATCGGCGGGGGCAAGAGACACATCGTCCGTCGACGCTGCCGACTGCTTGGCTGCTGCAGTTTAACACGATTAACGAGAGCACAATTAGCACGGTTGGCTACGTACGGTGTGAAAGGGAGTTCAACATGCGTACAAAAGCACAAAGATCCCCGTATGGCCTCAAACGGTTGAGGCAAGTGCTGTTAGTGAGCACCTTTGAAGGTCGGGATGGCACACAAGGGGGTGGGTGGCCAACACTACGCCTGGCTGCCGTTGTCTCCCGAGTGCAATGTGTAAACATCGCCACCGGGTACTCATGAGGCCGAACTGTTTCAGGTAATCATCATTGGTGTTGGCCGTGAACAGGAATCGAACTAGGGTCTCCGAGTTTGTAGAGCAGTGTGCCAATTCGTTACACCCTACATACAAAAGAACTGCCATTCGCCACCAAGTGATGTCACCACAGTGGTTGTACCAGGCTGTGCGCACTTTAAGGTCAAAATAATGCACACATACGTATAAATAAACAAACATAATATAGCTCTCGGACGTGTTTCCAGTTGTAGCACGTTCGGAAGACGTTTGACGTTTTCGCACCACATGCCCTAGAGTTTCCTCCCGAACTCAAGATTCAGTTCCTGAAGAATGTTGGACATAGCGACGAACTACGAAATTATACTACATTTATCTAAGCCAGGTGAGGGACCAATGAAACCAAAACTGGGGAGATCTGGGCCAAGAGGCAATACAATATCCAGGTAAGCATGCATTTGCAATATCGATCATCATAAACCCGATATCAATGCGAACGTTACGTAATTTGCAGGGTAGCACATTCCAGGTGTGGAGTAGAGTATAGTTCAAATGCAATTGCCATGAAACAATCCAATATTACATTACTAACAGACTGGGAAAAAAATGTTTATAACTCAACAGCTGTGATGCTCGTCAACATGCGTGTAGCATCATGGCGGGAAAAATACATTTTGCAAATTTAGTATTTTCTCTTGGGACTTGTAATAGAAATTAGTGAAGAGAAAACCGCTATCCGAGGAGGCCCTGTATAAGTGACAGAGCTGACAAAACAGTCTGAAGTCTATGCGAGTTCAAACATCGTAAACATTATTGACCGATTGGCTATATTTGAAGATATGTGCTCATGAGACTGGACATTGTCTGCGATCTCCTCATTCTGCCCAAATAGCAGTAAGTAAAATCCACTGACAAACACTACCCACTGAAAAATAAACAAACATATGTGGTTGCTCTCTCATTGGTATCTTGTACTCCTACTATGCAATGTTTACAGTAGCCTCCTAATTATACATATTTAGATAGCATCCATCACGTTGCTTATTTATACTCAACTCATTCACTACATCCTAAATGCATTTAAATCAGACAAGGAAAACTTTTAACAATGTTTTTTTTTCAAATTCAATTTGCAAGTAGAAGTTGATTTTTATTTGGACATAACTTTTATCCACTATAAATTTTCCATATACACTCAATACAATTGCACTTGTTTGAATAGAAAAAAAATGCAGATTTTAACTGCCACATTTTTTACTCATCTGATGTGTGTCAAAAGTCAACGCGTGCCGACACAGCTGTTGAAGGCCATCACGTGGGCATCACGTGTTCGCAACTCGAGACCCTGAAAGACTACCCGACTACAACCTTCGGTTATGTTTGGCACCAGCAAGAAGTCAGCAGACCACACGCTGGTCTCCAAATAAACACGTGAACACGCTCGCTCTCGCCGCTACCAGGCACAAACACGGCCCCGGAGCGACCACCGGCACAGATGCACTCTTGACATTTGAAAATTTCCCAATGCGTCTTTAAATTATTAAAATCGGGGAAAATGGGCACCTGGTAACCACAACAGGTCCATGCACGAGACAGGTTCATTATTTAAAGTCGACCACGATAGAACACGCGGCATTGTAATGACAGACTGCACAAAATACAATTCGCATTAGAAAGATAAGCGCGTATGCTTAGCGTAGATTAAGCATTCATGAAATCTCTCGGGTCACAATGGACTCTGTGAACGATTGGTTTACTGTGGAGGTTGCGACGCCCGAAGCCAGTGAAGTACACATTGGCAGTCAAGTCGGTGGGCATGGGCTGTTTGACAATTTTGAAGTTAGGGGCCGGTCGATACTTGGACGAGTTCAGATATCCCTCCATCATGGATGTCAGTGGCACCGGGGATTCGAACTCGGGTAGCTGGGTATAGTGTGCTGCGCTGCTGACCAGAAGTGGTATGCAAACCTCAAGCTGTGGCATTCATTGTAAATTGTAAAAAAAAAAAGGTGCTTTGCCATAAAAAGTACAAAAACTAAAACATCTTCATTAAGAAAAGTCGACATAGAAAGTGGGAAAATATACAACTTTTAATTACTACAGATTAAGGAAATGTTGGATAAAAAAACGTATGTTATACATGAATAAAAACAACAGATTGGACTCGGAGCTCCCGATTGGTTTTGGAGCTTTACAGTTTTGAGAGGAACAGAAATCCCCTGTTGAAGCCGCCAAATTAAATTGTGTTTTACCTGCCAATAAAAACACTTTACAAGGACAAAAGACACGTTTGGCTCAGGTCTCCCTCGTTGACCTCTGGTCATAAATGCATGCACACACTTTTTTAACGCATTGACATTCCGTTGACTTGGCCATCACCTTGCTGCTGCTGGTCCTGTTGCCGTGACGACGCCACCTCGGCGTTGCCATTGGGGATGATGGCGGCGGCTGCATCGTCCAACTTGGTCTTATCGCCGAAAGAATCGGCCAGCATCAAGTTGATGTTGTCCAGCTTGTGAGACGGGCTGTGGAGGAAACAACAAAGACAACATTCCTTAATTCTGTCTTATGTGCAGGCAATTCAATTCCGGCTTCCATAGCCCCAAAAAAATCTAAAGGAAAAGGATACACATATCCATAAGGAGGACCCCCTCCCTGAAATAGCAGTCATTAGACAATTCCTTCGGAAACAATATTTTAAATTAATTGTACTCAGTCAATTTAACAATAATTGTATATCTTGCGGTCAAATTATTTTCTTCTGGGTGACAGCCAAGGGATGGAACGTGCTCGAAAGGAGTGTTTCCTTTGAGGAGGATGGAGCAATGCAATCAGTTTCCGGGCAGGTGCTCGATCGATTGTTGCGTCGCAGGATCGTGAGCAGTAGTGCTGGCTTTGAGGAGGCCTTCATCCAGCAGTGGATTGACCATAGTTTATCATGATTTATAGTAGCGGATAATTTAAGCGAATGGTTTTCATTCATGTAGCATCTTTTATTTTCATTGAAAATGTCAATTGCAACCTTAAAATACAATCTCAATAGAGTGAACAATGCAAGTGACAATTAACATTTAGTATTCACGAGTGTGGCATTACGAGAGGTTTTAGTGTGTGCCTTGGATAAATGTGGCATTTAACTTGCTACCTGCAGTCTCATTAAAGGAGCATTGATGCCTTCTCAGCAATTTCCTTCCAATGACAACTGAGAGTTTGTAATATAAATGTTCACTCGGTTGTGTTTTTCTGCACCAGGCTAGGCCAAATTAAAACTATCCATCAAGTAACCAGTGCATCTATTGTGGGGCCAAAATGTTTTAAATCGCATCCAATGTTTGATAATAGGCAGACGAGTCCTCCAAACCACAAAGTGCTCAATTATCCAACAAAAGTCAGACTGATGAACTATGGTAAGGGTTAGATGTGAATAATTACACTGAGAGGGCTCATGTCGCAAGCTGCCCCCCCAGCATATGATGAAATTTGGGATTGTGACCAAGTAGAAAAACCAATAGGAATGTCTTTGTGTCATATTTGCTCCGGCAGTACTTATACTGAAAATAGCAATGCGTTTGTGTTGACGGACATCGTTTGGATTCAATTTAAAATCCACAATGAGGCAGTAAATCGTTGGACAGAGTTCTTACTGAAACAACATAAATAATGTTGACAAAAAAAGTGGTCAGCGTACTTGAATATTTACCCAGCAACCCACGTTCAATTCCTGGCCACGGCTAATATCACAAGTTATATCTGAACCGGTCCTGGAAACTACCTTCACTAATCCACACTGACCCAAGTGGTGAACTGTTGTCAAACAACCATCATGATAGATGCATCATGGGAGGCTTTTATCCAGCAGTGGACTGACAAATAGCTGTACATACATTTATGATGAATATTCCTACTGACATGTAGTCACCACAAATTAAATGCATTTGATGCGAGTATGCACGAGCATGTTTGAACTTGCTGTATTAAACACAGATGCACTGCAGTATTATGCACAGCTGTGCATTGTGGGTTCAGATGCTCATTACACAGTCTCTGGGTTCCAATGGTCTTGTTTAAGTGAAGAAATGTGCCTGTTTGTATCTGTTATATTATTGCATGTTACTAATTATAACATGAGATCGACAAATATATAATGTCACGTATCCTGCTATTATCTTTAATAGTTATGGATGCTGGCTTGGGTTGCTGTCTCTGGGAGGTACAAAAAAAAACCATGGACATATGATGAGCGCTGTAATATTATCCAACTGACAAATACAAAGACTTAATGTCCTTGGTACAGTTACACTTATCCCAGGACAACTACTTCAACAACAAAAAACTCCCAGGAAAACCAGGAAAGGTGGCAGCCCTATTGCTTACTATTCTTTAGGAGGCTTGTTAACATGCAATGAGCTGAGATTCCAAAAAGAAAAGAGACCAGACCTGCCAGACGAAGAAGGGGGTGTTGGCGAAGTCTCTCCATTGACGAGGTCATGGCCCGTGTCCTCAGACCCATGCTCCACTTCCAAACCAGACATGATGTCCGCTGTCGCAAGGAGGGGGGGGGGGGGGTAAGGTGGAGGGCGGGAGACAAAAGTAGGCCAGGGTTCAATTTAACATTTCACAACGCGTCCTCACAATTACAACTGCAGTGCATGCAACGTGTGTAAGTGTAGGGTTCAAGTGCAATGCAACAGCGATAAAACGGACAGAAGGTGAAAGGTAACCAAACCGAAGTTTAAGATTGCCCAAGCCATTAGCCTAAATTATATTTAAATGACTTCGAGTGATCTCCTTTTATCAGCATGAACTTGGACCCAATTAAATGAAAGCCATCTGGAACGCAAGCACCGCGTCATAAAATCATTTAATTCTGCACAATGAAAGAAAAAGATTCTCAAAAAATCTCAAACCTCATGGATAGACCAGTCCCACCAGACCAATACTAAATGCCTCCACATAAAAGTGTACATCTCATCAGCAGCATTCGTTTCTACCACAATCGCAAACCTGTTAAGATCTTGGCGGCATTTCAAATGTCAGGCAACGTGGACTCCATTTGTATAATTATTTCATAACCGTGCAATAATTAAGACTTTGTATACTGTATATCATAATTAAATAATTACATGTGTTTTCTTATTCTTCTCTACTACATTTGAATCTTGGTAGGGGGAGAAAAAATGCTGGCCCATGTGGTGGTACAAGGAATGTAAGTCTGCAACAGCTGCTATTGTCATTCTCGCACACAGCAGCTTATAAAGGCTTCAGTATAGACTATCCATATGGACATTTCAGGTCAGTCTTATGCTTATTACTGTACCCAAAAGGATGTAATTTCATCCCAAATTACTCACTATGAAACCAAGAACAGTATCCAAATAAATCCACTTCCACGTTTGCCGAAACAGCATCTCAGTTCGCACTGCCTAAAGGACTCTTTTTGCAAGATCATTCGGATCCCAACATTAAACAAAGGCATGCTACGCTTATATTGAGACAGAACCAAGAAAGTGTTATTTTAGTAACTCAATAATCCCACAAGCTGAAATTAAACCGTATAATGCTGGACAAATCACCATTCCATTCGTCAACCAGGATATTATATACCAGATTTCATTACCACTGTCACCGAGTTAAGGCCCATTTATAATTCCATGTGAACACAAATATATTAAAGAGAAAACACATTTTCTAAATGTGGATACTGGGGACAGTCAATGTAAAACCAAATTCCCTCGTTCCCAACATCTTTCATTCATTCTTTGTTCCTGTATGGGGCGCATAGCACGAACGTTAACGTTCTTCCGTCTATTAACAAACGGCAGTGACATTACACGGAGAAAGAAGCAACACGAGCGGTAACACAGCAGAGACCCAAGCGTTCACAGGATTCAACACCAACGTGGCTGCAAGGTTGGTGTCCATGTGGCAAACATCGGTTATTAAGCGCAAGAAAACCGGCCCGCTCATCGTGAAGCCACAAAGCACAAAACGCACGCAGACCGCCGTTTCGTACATCACAGCCACGGTATGCAAGAGAAGCGATCGAGAGAGAGAGAGCTGCTTACAAGGCGCCTCACTCGCAAACAGCAGAGCACTCTCGGCTAAAACCCCACCGGATTCACTGCCTTTCAGCACCATGGCTCCTTCCCGCACTCTTCGCTGCTGCTGCTGCTACTGCTCCGGGCGCTGGGGTGGCAATGAGGACTGGCCGGCGTGAATGACTGCGCGCGCGCGTGGGATGCGAAGAGGAGCAGGAGGAGGAGGGACGACCGAGGGCGGGAACAGTTTAATAGGAGCAACCCGGAGCGTCCCTACACCCCAACCCCCCACTACACACCACATCATCAACCCTACACTTTCCTGTTGCCCTCCCCCCCTCCCTCCAGCCCAACGCCGCAGCAGCAGCAACCACATCCTGCCGGCTCCGTCACGGTAAGCCCGGCCCCTACCTACCCCCCCACCCTGCACCAAGCATCATAACCCCGCCCGCCTTCCCTCCCGAAAACTCACAGCGCAATTGGCCGTTGCGAGCCGCAAGCTCTGCCGTCGTCACATCACCCCATTTCAAACACACACGCACAACAACTAAAAGGAGGAAATGCTTAGGAACGGCTCCGGCCAGCTGCGCTTGGTTGAGTAGCCTCCACCCCCCACATCCATCCATCCATAACCTTTCCCCCCTGCCAGGGTGGTTGGTGTGTTAGCGACAACACACACAAGACCCGGGGAGTTCATCATACCCCCGTTGTCGAATAGCAACATCACACCACCGCCTCACTACGACCTGATCGACTGCTGACAGCAGCCCCCCACCCACCACCCTCCACTACAACCACCTTGATTTAAGGCTGGCTGGGAGTCAAGGGACAGGACGCAACATGGTAAAACTAAAAATAGTTACAACAACGTGTTCTCCCGTCCACGTGTTCCGTGACGGGGTGATCTGGACGTTGCCCCCCCCCCCACTTGTACTCTCCCATTACGATAAAGAGGTCGTAGGGAATTGGGTGGGGGTTTAGAGTTGCGTCTGGTCGTCAAATAAATTATGAAAGCATTTCAGAAGGCCTGAATCAAAAAGTTCTAGAAAGTGAACTCCAACCCCCCCCCCCCCCCCGATGTGGGGGTTAAAAGTTGATCCTACAGGTCTACAACAATTGTCGACCCCCCTCCCCCCACTATTTTTTTATTTTTAGGCATATATACCTAAACATCCTACATACAATAGTCAGTCTATCTTAGTATGGGGGGGGGGATATCAGATAGAAACCCTCCACCAGAATGTTACATTGACACTACAGGTATTAGACAAGTTACATTGGTAAAACAAAACAATTAATTATTTTTTTCCATTCGGTAAGGCGAGCAACAATTAAAGTATTAATTGTAATTTTAAAAACCTCTGACAAGGGCCTATTGAGAAAATGTTACATGTTAAAGTCGCAAATCGAGTGTATTTAGTTGTGAAATCATGGTCTTGTAAATATCAGCTGAAGGACACAGTAGGTTACATAGTGTTCTTTAAAGCAATTCGCAGTCTCAGTATAAAATCAAATAACCAGTGTAAATTAAAGCCAACATCTTTAAAAAAAAAGGTGAATATTTGCTTTAAATAGTAAACCTAAAATACAGTATTGCCCATTAAGCGACATTTGTTTGCATTTACTGGGGAAGAGCGCATTGCCTCCACATTAGAGAGGGCGGTGCCCCATCGTCCTGAACTGCAATAGCACCCGGAAAACCCTCCCTCGGTAACGTGGGCGAGAAAAAAAAGAACGCGGTTTTATAAATAAGCGTGTGGCCCAATCATAGGGCGACACACACCACACACCATCCTTGACCCCACACTCCTCCTCCAGAGCCGTGTCCGAAAGTAACCCACGCCCCAACCCCCCACACAACACGTGTGTGCGCGTGCGCCTTACACACACACATACACCAAGCCCATGAACAGACAAACACCGCCTGTATTCAAAACAATGTCGCTTACGGTGAACAATGCACGCGTGTGGAGCGGTGGCGCAGTGGTTAGCGCCACTGCTCTGTGGCTATACTGTAACTGTATATCACACGCCTAAAGAAAAAAAACTTTCCATTTTCTTGCGCTACACTGATGTTCTTCCTCTACCGATTGCGATTCGATTCGTTGTTACGCGCGTTTAATTGCTTTGCTTTTGGTAATTTTGGTCAGCCGAAGGTCACCGTTGAAAATTGAGAACTATCCTGGTTTCACAGGAGTTCTCACCTGGTTTAAAAACAAGTAAAATCGAACTCTGCCTCCCGGCCAAAAACACAAACCCTGAATGAAAATCAGCAGCGAGTGATGACAGCCCCGCCAATGCACCACTTGGTGAAATATGGTCAAATAACCCCATGGTCTACAGGGTGGGGGAAGGAAGGCCTTGACACATCTAGTAAGTATATTGACATAGCTAATTATAATATTAAACAGACCCTATTATCAACAATGCGCATCAAAAATATAAATAGGTGCGTGATGTCAATGTGATGTCTGTGTGGGCGTAGTTGGTAGGTGGCGTGTGTACCGACGACACGTTCCCATATCAATTTCAGGCCATTCGTAAATTTGCGTCCGCCCTGGGATTTGGCCTACACAACTGCACACATTACAATCGCAACACAACGCATGCAGATAACATGAATTCAATACAGTACACGGAAGTGCGTGTATTTCTTAGGTAGACGTCGCAACATTTCCATTAGCAAATGCATGAACGTCATCGGGCCCCTCGCGGTTATTGAAGCTATTTGACCACAACAACTTCAACCATGCAGGCCTGAAGAGACACGCGCCACTGACAAGAGCTGGAAGTCCAGGATGTGTGTGCTAGCCTCCCATTAGCACAGTTGGCTACGTACGGTGGGCGAAAGACGTTCAATATATCACTGGGTTCCTAGTGCAGTGTGCTACCTCCCCCCACCCTCCTGTTCCACGCCTGCCTACGGTGGATTTCTCTCGTGTAAATATAGCAGAGTAAAATCATATATTATTATGTTATTGCCAGGGAAAGACGGGCGACACGATTTCCAACGGGATGCAGACGTTTTACACGTTGGTTGCTTGCAGTTTTCAACACCGTAGGTGAGGAAGTTTACGATATGCCACTGGCTGTAACATCACCACCCCAAAAAAACACAAAATAATAAAAGCCTTTGAAATCCACTCAACAGCAGACCGATGGATAAACGCCAAGCAGAATTCAGTGTGGCTCCCGAGTCGCGATCAAAACGGGTCAACACGCCCGAACAAAAAAACAATTCCCTGGACCCACAACAATCCCAAGCTCGCCCGTGGCATGTCTGAGGACAGTTGCTATGGGCACCGTTCCCACGGCGACCGTCGCCATGGATACAGAGGAGATGCAGCAGCAGCCTGAATAATCACCATGACAATCGTACGGCGAAGTGGGCCCCCCCCACCACCACCGTGGTCGTTGGGCCCACATTGCTGCTGTAATGAATGGGCTCAAGCGATGGACCCTTGCACGGGCGTGTCTCGCGACATTGCAACGCGTTGTGTAATGATGCCTTAGTGTGGTCTCACAGCAACAACAGCCGCCATTCGGCACTAAGTGGCGGTGACGTCACCACGACGCTTGTGCCAGGCTATGTGCACCCTGAGGCCACGTGAAGTGTCGAACGCCCGCTGGCAGGAGGTCACGGGGCAGACCCAGCAGGTGCCACGGGTCGACTGACTGAGACGACTGGCTGATGCACCACCTGTGCACCCCCCCCCCCCCTTACTGTGCCAACTTGCTGTGCTTTAGCCACCCGGCGCTCCGCTCGTTGTTGTGAGCGTCGCTCCTCCGCCCTCTGTTGTTGTTGGAGGGCGATTGCCTCCAACTTTCCCAGGCTACTGGGCAGTTGTGGTCTCTCAGACACACACACAGGCGTGCACTCTGGCCGCGTGCGATGTGACCCCCTTAGGGCTCACAAAGGGGAGTGGGGGAGACTTTGAGTGCGTTTAAACGCATTCGTCCATCCATTAATGGACGTTGAGCACTTACTGCATTTGATTAATGGGCCGTCTAATTAGCGCAAAGTGAATTGCAAACTGATGGGTTTTTGGTACACGGCCCAGATTGAATAAATACTTTAGCCTACCTTCACTGGTCTATACGACTCAATCCCAGTGCCTGTATATTAGTTACCATTGATTGCATTTGTATATGCTTGATCTACATATTGCCCGTACGATTCTTATTCAAACGGTGATACATATTACAAGCAAAACCCCCAACGATAACTAATAAGCAATCTTTGCAACAACAAAAAAAACATGTAATTTACAAATTCTCCATGTAATATTTCAACATGTGCCTGCAGTAAATTTGAATTAAGGTACATGGAGCTAGGATTAACCTAGTTAATCAGCTTAACAATTGTAATAGGCTACACGTTAATGTGGTCGGTTTCTCGGGACTTAATTTTTTTTTAAGTTTTCCTAACATCCTGCCTCCCGAAGGCAGGAAACACCCTCTACAAGCCGCACACAGCATGACGGAGCTTTAAATCGTTACAAGCATAACTAATTAACATCGAAACTAAAATTTAGCTCTCTCCATCCATCGTATCTGTACCTCTTCTCACCACACGTTTTTAATATATTTTCTTATCTCATAATATATATCTCTTGTCTCCATCTCCCTTCTGTCAGGTCACGATAACTTTATAAAACTGAGAAGGCCCTCCTCCCCCCCACCTCTCCAAAAATAAGGCTCCTCAAATGGTATAGAAATAGGTTTTATCCTTTTAACTGGCACAAAAACTGACACCTTTATTCAAGGCATCATGTTTGCAATAACCACAACACAAGCAGTCAAAATGCAAACAAAAGAGACAACTCTGATAATAATATGCACTGTCCTTGAATTTGATTGGTCCACACCCGAGACAGCTTTTCTTAGAGCCTAGTCTCCATTGGTGTTGGACCAGAAGACGCCAAAAGGCGTACAATTCAAAAACAGCGCACTAACAAATGGGCTAGCACAATGTTAAATCTTGACTTAAAGCTTTCGTGACTGCAGGAATTCATATTCTTTGGGCCTTTCGGTATTAGTCACGTAGATATAATAAAATAACAAAAAATGAAAATAAAGTGAATAAAAAAAGAATAAAAAAATCACGACATTTCGATCGCAACAAGAAATCGTCATCAGGTGAAAAAAAATATGATTGCTTGTGTTGCGATCGAAACGTCGTGATATTATTTACTTATTTTCGTATTTGTATTATTTTATTTTGTTCCTTCTACGTGACTTACCGAAAAACCCAAATAATATAGCACAATGTTCTTCATCGCAAGGCCCTTGCG